TAAAGGCGTGGGCTACCACATCCGGCTCTCCTGCTTTTTAAGTATGGTCTTTAACCTTTTAATTTTTTTTATTTATTATTTTTATTTTATGTGTATGCATGTATTGCCTGCATGTAGGTAAGTGCACCTGTGTCGTGCAATGCCCTTGGAGGTCAAAGGAGGCTGTCAGATCCCCTGGGACTGCAGTTACAGACAGTTGTTAGCTGCCATGTGGGTGCTGGGATTTGAACCTGGGTCTTCTGCAAGAAAAACCAGTGTTCTTAACTGCTGAGCCATCTTTCCAGCCCCTTTTTAACCTTTTTTCGAGAGAGGGTCTCACTATGCAGCTCTGACTGGCCTGGAACTTGCTGTGTAGACCAGGGTGGCCTCGAACTCACAGAGATCCAACTGTCTCTGCTTCCTGAGTGTTAGGATCAAAGGTGTGTACCACCATACCCAGATAGGGCTTTATTATTTTTTTTTTGGTCTTTTTGAAACATGGTCTCCCTGTAGTCCCAGCTGGCCTGGAGCTCAGTATGTAGACCAGGTTGGCCTTGAAATCACAGAGATCGCCTACCTCTGCCTCTCAAGTGCTGGGACTTCAGGCGTGTGCCACCACACCCGGCTTCTTTAACTATTTTTATTAATCAATGTTATTCTGTTGTTTTTTTTTCAGTACTTAAAATTGAACCTAAGCCTCCTGAATGTCAGGAAAGCACTCTACCTAATTGCACTATATCCTCAAGTGGTAATTTTTTTTAGATAGATCTCATGTAGCCCAGGCTACCTTCAAACTCTCTGCTTATCAAAGGAAGACCCTGAACTCTTGATCCTCTTGTCTCTACCTCCCAAAAGATGGGATTACAGGTATGTGCCACCGTGCCTGGGGGAGGGGGGCGGTACGTGTATGTTGTGGTGCACATGTGGTGGTCAAGAGGTGAGCTTGTGAGAGTTGTTCTCTTTTTCCACCATGTGAGTCCTGGGGCTCAAACTCAGGTCCTCAGGTTTAGTGACAGGTGTTTTTACTGCTGAGCTATCTGGCTACCTCAGGCCCCCGCCCCTCATGATGTTTTTGCTACCCAAAAGTTTCTGGTGATAAAGCATATTCTGTTGCATGTGGTGTAAATGAGTTTAAATATTTATTGTTCTACAAATCACTTATCTAGACATTCACTCTGTTAAATAGTGTAATTCCCTAGGTTTTGGAATATTCACAAAGGATATGCAGTATAACTCCAGACCATTTTCTTCATCATTTTGTTTGTTTTTGAGACAGGTTTCCCTACATATCCCAGGCTGGCCTTGAACTTTTGAGTCTCCTGTCTCAGCATATTAGATGCTGGGATTATACATGTGGGCTATTATACCCAGCTTATTGCTCTCCCTTTTCCTCCCTCCCTCCCTTCCTTCCTTCCTTCCTTCCTTCCTTCCTTCCTTCCTTCCTTCCTTCCTTCCTTCCTTCCTTCCATTCAGTATTTCTTTCTTTCTTTGGTACTTTGAACAGAACAAATGCTCTACCAATTGAGCTATAGCCCCAACCCTCAATGATTTTTCTTAATTGGTTGTTAAAACTATTTAGAATGTAAGATAAATCAACAAACTTGAGGGGCTGCAGAGATGGCTCAGCGGTTAAGAGCACTAGTTGCTCTTACAGAGGACCCGGGTTCAATTCCCAGAACCCAAATGGTGGCACTAACCATCCATAACTCCTGTTCCAGGGGATCTGACGCCCTCTTCTGACATCCATGGGTAGTATATGACATGTATGCACTTACATATGTGCAGGCAATACACTCATGCACATGAAAATAAAAATAATAAAAAATTTTAAGAACAAAAAATTGAGTGCAAAATAAAACCAAATAAATACCTTGTGCTGGTTTTTGTCAACATGACACAAACTAAAGACACCTGGAAAGAGGGACCCTCAGTTGAGGTGTTACCATCACAGGATTGGACCATGTCTGCGAGGCATTTTCTTTAATTTTTTTTTGTCTTTCTGAGACAGGGTCTCCTTGTAGCCCCAGCTGTCCTGGACCTTGTGATGTAGACCAGGCTGGCGTTGACCCAACAAAGCTGCCCCTGCCTCTACCTCCCAAGTGCTGGGATTAAAGGCGTTCGCCTCCCCGCCTGGACTTTCCTTTAATTAAAAAAAAAATCTTTTTAAAGTATTTATTTTTATTTTATGAGTGTTTTACCTGCACATACGTAAGTACAGCATGTGTACCTGGTGTTCCAGGAGGCCAGAAGAAGGCACTGGATCCCCTGGAGTTCCAGACTGTTGCTAGCTGCCATGTGGGTGCTGAGAACTGGACCTGGGTCCTCTGGAAGAGCAGCCAATGCTCTTAACCGGGGATCCATCTCTCTAGCCCCTTACAAATTTTGTTTCATTCATTTATTTTTATTTTATGTGCATGAGTGTTTAGCGTGCATGTATATAATTGCACCACATGCATGTAATGCCTTCAGTCACCAGAAGAGGGCACCAGATCCCTTGGAACTGGAATTAGAGATGCTGACCCAGCCTGGGTCATCTGTCACAGCAGCTCAGTTTTAACCACTGAGTAACCCCTCCAGCCTCCAGGCATTTTCATAATTGGTAAATGATGAAGGAGGGCCCAGCCCACTGTGGGCTGTGCCATCCCTGGGCAGGTGGATCTGGGCTGTATAAGGAGAGTAACTGAGGAAGCCAGGGAAGGAAGCAACCCAGGGGAAACAAGCCAGTAGGCAGCATTCCTCCTTGATCTCTGCTTCAGCTCCTGCCTTTAGTTTCCTGCCTTAAGTTCCTACCCTGACTTCACTCAGTGATGGACTGTGCCTTAGAAGTGTAAGATGAGGAGGCTAGAGAGATGGATCTCAGTAAAGGGGATCCATGCCTTCTTCCTGCCTCCGTATTGTATGACACAGGTGCCCTTATACACAGGCAAAACACTCATACACATACGACAAAAATAAACAAACAAGCCCAAACTGGTGGGTTTCCTTGACTTGGCTGGCATGGTGGTGCATGCCCTTAATCCCAGTACCTGAGAGGCAGAGGCAGGGAATCTTTGTAGGGGAATCTCTCTGAGATTAAGGTCAGCAAGGTCTACATAGGGAGTCCCAGGCCACCTGGGGCTACAGGGAGACCCTGTCTCTAAATTGATTAATTAATCAATTTAAAATATCTTTAAAAATATTTTATTTTTATGTGAGTGTATTGCCTGCATGTATATAAGTGCACCCATATTATGCAATGCCTGAAGCGGTCAGAAGAGGGTGTTGGATTTCCTGGAACTGGAGTTATGGACAGTGACTAGCCACTGTGTGTGTGCTGGGATCCAAAGCCTGGTCCTCTGGAAGAGCAGCCAGTGCTCTTAAACAATGAGCCATCACTCCAGTCCCGTAATTAATTAATTTTCAAAAATGAAATGTAAGATAAAATAAACCCTTTCCTCCCCAAGTTGTTTCCGTCATGGTGTTTATCACAGCAATAGAAAAGTAACTACGACACCTCTCCAGAGGGCATTATATTGTAGATTCCACCATGCCTTAACGGAAAATATGTGCTTCTTGAAACAGAACTTATTTCAGATAAATGGTTGTGCTGAAAATTTGTGATCTAAAGCATGTATTTGGGAACCAGCTAGGTGGCTGAGCTGGTAAAGGTGCTTGCTGTCAAGCCTGGACCTCAGATCCCTGGGACCCACATGGTGGGAAGGAGAAAACAGACTCCTGCAAGCTGTCCTCTGACCTCCAGAGAATAAATGTAATAAAAGTTTTAAAAATTCAAAGTATTTAACTTTAGTTGGGGTTAGAAATAACTAGCTGGTGGTATAAAAAATGAGGGGGAAGGAGAGAAAAGAGGGAGAGTATTTATAAACAGAAACTTGTATGGAAACGCAAGATGAGGCTGGTGACTTAGCTCAATTGGTAGAGTGCTTGCCCAGCATGCATGAGACCCTGGGTTCAGTGCTCCAGCACCAAGCATGTCAGCAAAAGCCTGTAAGCACAATGAGGCAGGAGCTTAAATTCAAGGTCATCCTCTGTCAAAGAGCAAGTTCAAGAAGGGAAAGGAAGGAAAAGAGGGAAGGGAAGGAAGGAATTCACAGACATCCGCCTGCCTCTGCCTCCGGAGTGCTGGGACTAAAGGCGTGCGCCACCACCCCCGGCTAGCCCTTTTAAAAAAAAAAATTGCCATGGGTACTGGCGCACACGTATTCTTAGCACTCAGGGGGTGGAGGAAGGAATTCACAAGTTCCAGGCCAGCCTGGTCTACATAGTGAGTTCCAGGGCAGCTGGGGCTACAGGGGGACCCTGCCTCAAAAAGACAAAAAAATTAAAAATTAAGAATTGAAAAAAGGGCTGGAGAGATGGCTCAGTGGTTAAGAACTCTTGTTCTTGCAGAAGATCCGAGTTCGAATCTCAGAACCCACGTGGCAGCTAACAACTGTCCCTAACTCAAATACCAGGGGATCCAGCAGCCTCTTCTGTCTTCCGCAGGCATTGCACTACATGGGTGCACTTACCTATATGCAGGCAATACACGCATACACATAAAATATTTTTTTTAATCACATGATGAAAAACAGGTTAAGAAAATCTCAAAACTCTTTACAACTTAAAATACGAATATATGAGTCCTTCTTGGCCCGGCGTGGTGGTGCACGCCTTTAATCCCAGCACTGGGGAGGCAAGGGCAGGAGGATCTCTGTGAGATCGAGGGCAGCCTGGTCTACAGTGAGTTCCAGGGCAGTTGGGGCTACAGGGAGACCCTGTCTCAAATAAAAAAAACAAGAAAAAACTCCCAGATTTTCTTGGGTCCGCTTAAAAAAAAAAAAAAAAAGCTAACTGTGGACGCTCTTACACCTAACTCCCAGAGGCTAAATTCACGTGGGACGCAGTCTAAAGTCCCCACAAAACACCTCCCAGACCCGAGAAACAGTTCCCAGGAAACAAGGGAGGGACTTTTCTTTTCCCAGCCCTACGCCTCTGAGCCCTTCATCAGATCTCCACGCGAGGGCGCTCTCCGCGAGCTCGCCTGGGGACCGCGCGACAAGAGCGGGACGCCTAGCACGCGCCGTCCTCAAGGACAAGAGCTCCATCACAGGCGGAAGTGGACCCTGGACTGATGTCGATTTATTACATTCTAGAAAACGGTAAAATAAAAAAAAAATAACATAAATGAGACTTTCTGATCTTACAGAGCAGATAAAAAGAATCTCAGATTTCAGGGAAACTATTCCGACCAGCCCCACAGGAAACGGAAATGGCTTTTCTCGCCAGCGCCGGTGTCGGTTTCATTACTGTCCTTTCAGGGGGTTTTATGTGGGGCTGCCCAGGGTATTGCCTGAACAAATATCTAACAGGTCTGTAATGGATACATTCCGGAACTTTGTAGCGCGTTTTTGAATTAGCCTGCCGGTAGGTCCTGTGCAAACTGAGAGAAGTCCAGGTAGTGAGATTCGTGCTATATCTGCCATTCTTTTGTCCAGGCCTGGGCCCTAGCTGGCCTTCCCGCCTCTGCTTTTTGGCTCCGCCCAAGGGATATACATGACGTCAGGAGACCTTCCAGCAACTTCTTTCCTCTCCGAGCAACATGGCTGGGGGTGAGGCCGGAGTGACTCTCGGGCAGCCGCACCTATCCCGACAGGATCTCGCTACTTTGGTAAGGTCTCGCTTCGCCCTTAGAATGCATTATGAGCTTGGAAGTGGGGCGGTCATTCTCGGAAGGCATGGGGATGAGGCAGTGCATGGATGTAGGGAGCATGGGGTAAGGGAGAGAACCCTAGAGCAGGATGCTATTCAGCCACCTGTACCTCGCCTAGTCCCCAAATTGGTGAGCGATTGTGCGACCTGAAACGCCTGGAGGGTTTTAAGTCTTGGTGCTTAATACCATTAAGCATTCTGGATATCTAATGTGGTAGAATGCTTGCGTAAGCATGTGCTCAGCCCTGAGTTCCATCTCCAACAGCTCTTTATGACGCATGCAGGTAATCGTAGCACTTAAGAAGTGGAGACGGAAGATCAGAAGTTAGGAAATTCTTGGCTACATAGCGAGTTGGGGGCCTTGAAATACATGAAACCTGTTTCAAAAAATAAAGTCATTAAGGTTTAGACCTCTAAAGGATTGGGAATGGGACATCTACACTTAGATCAGTATATAGGACACTTGAGGACTTGCTAAAGCTCCAGGATTATGTGACCTGCCTTATCAACACCTCTTTCAGTGAGTGATTTTTTTTTTTGTAATAGTGAAAGACTCTTAGGGGTTCCCAACCATAACAACACATGATTGATTAATAGTAGAAAGACCCTTTAGCAGTAGAAGAGAGCTAGTTATACAGGGGATGGTGAGCTGTGCCTGATGAATATAAAGTCAAGGAAAAAGTATTTATTGATTATGTTGTTTGGAAATACACTTCATTGCAGGATGTTACCAAATTGACACCACTTTCCCATGAAGTTATCAGCAGACAAGCCACAATTAACATAGGTAAGATAACCTAGAGACCTGACTTACAAGTAATTTTAACCTCTCCTTTTGAGTAATTACTTGAGTAATGTGGGAGTTTATTTGGAGGTTGACCTGAGCAGTACAGCATGTTGAAAAGAAAGCTGTTGAGACCTTGTAAGCAAAATGCTGCATTTTTTTTTGCTATACATGTGAAAAGTTTAATAGCACAAAACAGTATATCATCATGTGGTAGCAGAAGTTTAAGAGGTGAAAATGTATTCCTGCCACATAAGGTTATTGAAAAGGCAGAGTTTATAGAAGTTTTATTTGCTATGTAAGCTATAATTAAGTAGAATTTTTTTTCTCTTAATTGGCGCCTAGAACTGTTGCGTTGTATTGGTTGACTATAAAATTTTACCTTTTTTTTCCCTTTCTAAATTTTGAGACAGGGTCTTGCTATGTAGCCCTGGGGTCTAGCTTGGTACTTCGTATTCTGTAGCTATGTAGCTCTGACTGACAGCTAACTCAAGGGAATTCTCTTTCTTCGATCTCCTGAATATTCCCCCAGCAAAATATTTTGGTAGACTTTTTTGGGTTTGTTTGGCTTGCCTTTTTTTATTTTATTTTTTAATGTATATGAGTGTTTTATCTGCATGTATGTAAGTGCATCTGAACCATGCAGTACCCATGGAGGCCAGAAGAGGGTCTCAGATTCCTTAGAACTGGAGTTACAGACATTTGTGAGCCACCCTGTGGGTGCTGGGTCCTTTGCAAGAGCAGCCAGTCCTCCTAACCTCTGAGCCATCTCCAGCCTCTGTTTTGTAAGACAGGGTCTCATGTAGATCAAAGTTGCCTTGATCTTGCTTATGTAGTCTAGACTGGCCTTGAACCCCTCATTTCCTAAGTGCTAGGATTACAGGTCTGTGCCACCAAGCTGCTACTTATTCTTGTATTTTTATTGAATTTTTGTGCATTTCAGACAATACATCTTATTCACATTTAGACTCCCTCCACTATCTGCATCCCTTCATAGCTCCTCCCCACCAAATTTCAAGTTGTGTCCCCAAATGTCCCTCGGTATGAGTTCATCCACTGGAGCCTGGTAACTTTAAAAAATTTAATTTATTATTACTTGTGTGCATGCCACAGCACACATGTGAAATTCAAAGGACAACTGTGAGGAGTCATTTCTTTCCTCCTAATGTTGATTCTGGGGGTTGAACTCAGGTCGTCAGACTTCTGTGGAAAGCACTTACCCACTGAGCCATGTCACCAACCCTGTCACTGTTGGTTTTATCTTACATTGCTGGTTATAGTTAGGATTTTTAGTTTTCTACTCAGCACTACTTAAAAAAAAACATTAGTGTAATTGAATGCTTGAGTTAATTTTTTGTATTTTGTCTTTAGGTACAATTGGCCATGTAGCTCATGGGAAGTCCACTGTGGTAAAAGCCATTTCTGGTGTTCACACTGTCAGATTCAAAAATGAGCTAGAAAGAAACATCACCATCAAGCTTGGATATGCTAATGCTAAGGTGATCTATGTACTGTGGAGCTGGAAACTATTTAGCTTTAATTGCTACACAGGTAACAAAGCTAATTAGTTTTTTCATTGAAATGTTTAGATTTATAAACTTGATGACCCGAGTTGTCCTCGACCAGAATGTTACAGGTCATGTGGAAGTGGTACACCTGATGAATTTCCTACTGACATTCCAGGGACCAAAGGGAACTTCAAATTAGTCAGGTAACTTTGGTGCTAAAAGCAGTTCATTGCTTTTTAGCTCATGGTTTTGTGCTTTGTGCTTTTTTAAGTACTTAAGATATTGAACACTGAACTGAAATGCTTGATTCACTAATTTTCTTTCTTTTTTTTTGTCTTTTTGAGACAGGGTCTCTCTGTAGTTTCAGCTGACCTAGAACTCCCAGAACTCCCTGGGGTAGACCAGGCTACCCTAGAACTCACAGAGATTCACCTGCCCTCTGCCTTCCAAATGCTGGAATTAAAGGCATGTGCCGTCACACCCAGCTTTTTTTTTTATTTTTTGAAATGGGTCTCACTGTAGCCCCAGCTGTCCTGGAACTTGATATAGATCAGGCTGGCCTCCATCTCACAGAAATCTGCTTCTGCCTCCCAAGTGCTGGGATTAAAGTCATGCCTACTGCACTTTCTTTTTTTTTTTTTTTTTACTATGATGATAAATTGAAAGGTCAAATATTTTAATTTTATTTTATGTGTATGAGTGTTATTTGCATGTATGTAAGTATACCCATGTCTTGCAATGCCCACAGAGTTCAGAAGATGTGTGTTAAGTGCACCTATGTCGTTTAGTGCCCACTGAGGTCAGAAGAGGGCATTGGATCCCCTGGAACTGGAGTTAGGAACAGTTGTTAGCTGCCATGTGGGTGCTGTGAAGTGAACCCCTGTCCTCTACAAGAGCAGCCAGTGAGTACTCTTAACCACTGAGCCAGCTCTCCAGCCCCAAAAGCTCAAATATTTTAAAATTCAGCCAAAACACACGAAAGTTCTGCAAAGTATTGCATAAGCAGAAAGGGAGAGAAAACAGATCTCTTTAGATTTAAGGGATTTTTTTTTTCCCCCTAGGCTTCCTAAATTTCTTCCAAAACACGATTCTGAGCTAGGAGTGGTAGTACACACCTTTAATCCCAGCACTCTGGAGGCAGGCCCTAGCAGATCTCTGTGTTCAAGGGCAGCCTGGTCTATATAGGGGTTCTAAGCCAGCCAGGGCTACATAGTGAGACCCTGTCTCAAAAAAAATTAAGAAATACTCTTGTCAATTCTGCTTGGTAGATAAGAAAGGAACAAAGCCATTCTTAATTACTTCTTCAAAGCACATGACTTGTTCCCCAACCATTTTCTGAATATGATTGCATATCTTGGTTCTTTATCACAGGTAGGCACTGACATCTGGTTCTGCCCTCTACGCATCTTTGGGGGACTGTGGGCACACCACAAGAAGATTTTTGTTTTGTTTGGGTTTTTTTTTTATTTGGTGACAGGGTCTCCCTATAGCCCCAGCTGGTTCTGGAACTTTATAAGACCAGACTGGCCTCAAACTCAGAGATAAGTCTCCTCTGCCTCCCTAGCACTGAATGTTGGGATTGAAGGCATTTTAGACCTGGGGCAAGGCCAAGACTGGGGAAAACTAAGTGATGCCCAAAACTTAGGGGTGGAGGAAAAGCGGCAAAATCTCTGTAATCTAGACAAATTTTACTATTTTGATACTTGAATGCAGAAAACTGTGGTGAATACGATATCAGAATTTTATTGCTTGGGTTTTTCTTTTTTTTAATGAAGCACGGTTTGGATTTTCTGAATTGAGCTGAGCGTGGAGGTGCACGCCTGTAGTCCCAGCACTTGGGAGGCAGAGGCAGGCGGATCTCTTATGAGTTCAAGGCCAGCCTGGTCTACATAGTTCCAGGACAGCTGGGGCTACAGGGAGACCCTGCTT